ACCAAAGCAAATCTGTTTAAACACCAGGTTTTCTATGTAACTTTATTCAAACAAACTAAAGAAAACAATTGTATATGTTGCATAAAATATAAAGAACAACTGTCACAATTGTTATAACTTACCTTCCTTGAGAACCAAAGCGAAATTGATCAGAAAAAGATGTGCTTCAACTGAAAGATTTCAACTTTTGACAGTTGTCCAAAAAATCTATAATGTATGTGATACTTAATAGAAAAAAGTGACGACACACAGCAGCATTCTCAACAGCATCGCTTCCCAGTTCACAAATAACTTCTTTACAAGGGTATACACTGGATTTTAACTGAGAGGCATCTCCTATGATTTTTGAAGAAGTAACTGAGGTATGCATCATCATGAAGTACTGCTTAAATTTTCAAATTGGGCCTCCTAAGGGGGATTTGCCATTGCTCCTTTATAATTGCCATGAGCTACTTTCAAATGTTTTTTCAAGTCATAGAATTTAGAAAAGTTTACAGGACAAAATTTGCAAATAAATTTCATTCGTGAATTATGAACTATACCAATACTAGCACTTTTGTTCCTGCAGTAAGTTGTATCTTTATGACGAGTTAAATCATATTTTGTGAAAAATATTCCTGCACAAACATCACAAGTGAATTGAAGGCTATCAGATACAGGAGATTCAGTACGAATCTCATTCCGATGATTCTTCATTTCAACTGATTTGCCCAACTTTTTATTGATAACTTTGTGAGATACATCATTGTATTTCTCATCAGACAACCCCATTTTCTTTGCGACTTTTGTCCGAGGTGTTGAATTTTTCTCTTTACTTTTACTCCCTATTGTGTGTGTAAATTTGTGGGTACTCCGTTTTCGGGCTCTGTGTTCTGCTCTCAAATGACACAGAAGGTCTTCCAACTTGAAAAATCTCATTTTACAATGTCGACAGATAACTTTTTTATCACTTTCTTTAGTATGTCTAGTATCTTTGATATTTCCATTAATTGATGTGGAAGCATTTCTTGATGTTCTAGATAATTTTTCCTCAATTTTTCTTTCCATTTTCTTCAATTCTTGTAAATGGTCATTAATATGTTGTTGCAGCTGGCTAACTGTGGGAAAATGTTCCTTGCATTTTATACATGCATACGTCTCACTTGAAATTTCTTCAACTTTTTCTCCAAGTCGGCTTTTAATGTGATTTCCTTTAGAAGATGGTTTCGTTTCAGATTCCTTTTGAGACAAAGAAAGTTCTGGCAAGTCTTTACAAAGTTGGATGTCAAATAAATGGGGCTGGATTTCATCTATAGCTTTTGAAGGCAGCCCTGTTTTTCCAATATTTATATGATTTTTCTTTTTTTTTTGTGAATGGTCATTCAAGTGCTGTTGAAGTTGTCCAATTGTAGGAAATGATTTTTCACATTCACTACATAGGAATGTTTTGAAAGGATCTTCAATTTTGACACCTAGTCGATTTTTCACGGAAATTTTATTGTGGATCATTTCATCTGGAATAATTGTTTTTTCGCCCTTTTCATACAAATAGGTAAGTCCCTGTTCAATATCGTTTATGAGTTTAACTGTACTGTTTTTGTGGATTACACTTGGATCTCCATCAATAACACTCGGATATACATCTGTAACACTCGGATATACATCTGTAACACTCGGATATACATGTGTAACACTCTGATATACATCTGTAACACTCGGATATACATTAGTAAGACTCGGATATACATCAGTAAGACTCGGATATACATCAGTAACACTGGGATATACATCAATAACACTTGGATCTCCATCAAAATCATAACTTGTAGGCAATTTTTCAGTTTGATGGTCTCTTTCTTCAGACCCTGACCTATTTCTATCTATTCTCTCCTCGATAGTCCTGACTAGCTTTACCATATTTTCGCTCAAGTTAGAATTAAATGTAATGGATTTTTCAATAATTCCTGAATCATTCATGTTTTGATTTTTACTCATTTTTTCCAGGAGTTCGTCCATGTCATCATCAGATCCTTCGCCCATCATTTTAGAAAACTGACGTGATTCTAATCCCAAAGTATCACTTTCCATCTCGAATGTTTGATTCCTGATTAAGGGCAGAGTTTTGGTTCCAAATTGAGAAATACTTCTTCACTTCCTCTCCATTCATAAAAAATAGCAAAATTGATTGAACAAATTTAGTATTTCGAGTTTTTCACTAAACCGCAAAATCAGAAATTGGATGGAATTTCACAAAAACTTCTTATCAAAGTTGTAGGCTATGGTTGTGTCCAATCAATTATTATTTATCACCAGCACCAACCCTTCTTAACATTATTGGCACAGCATAGATGTCTATTACACAGATGGCGCTATTGGACCCGGGGACAAGATCACAAAACAAGGTGTTCGATTTTCGAGCACCTTGTTTTGTGATCTTGTTTTGTATCGAAATTCGGAACGGATTTTATGTACAAGTCTTGCCGTATATTCATCGAAAAGTGTGCTTATAAACGTTTTGCATAAAATAGTGACTTCACAAGGACAGGAAATTAGAAGAGGAAAGAGGAATTATTTTGTATGATGACGAAATGCCGGGACCTTTTGGAAACAAGTGAAAAGAACACGAATATATGGAAGATTTTTTCAAATTGAAAATAGCCGAATATATTTGAAAACATTTTTCAATTCAATTTTATTATCAATGGTCAATATTTTCTAAAAATATTTTGAATAAAAACATATTCACTAGTCATTCAACACTACAAATAACATATACCATTCGTCAATAAAATCATTTTGTTTTTCTATAATTCACATAGAAAATCGAACTACAATCACGTATTGGACAACTACAAGCCGTATACTAGTTACCATTCGATGTAACGGTTTGATGTTGCGATAGAACTCCAGTAATAATATTAATTCAAAGTATGTCTGTATGAAATGATCATAGACGACATAATAAAATCTCTTTTAAAAAATGTTGCAGGTAATTCGCTGATATATACTATAAGGCTGGGTAACTTGAATAATTGTGTCCTGTATGAATGAACATTCTTATAGTACACGAAAGATGCATGAAAATACCATGGCGTAAACACTCTATGTAAACACTCTATGTAAAATATTGTGACGACAACACTCGATCTATGGCACTCTTGATAAAGAAATCCAACGTATTTGAAATAGATCTGATTCTACATTCCATTCATATCGGCGCTACAGAATAGTTCACTATTCTATATATTTTTAATTGAATGACATTATATTGGTTCCAATACTCAGATTCCATCCAAAAAATATGAGGTTGTATGGACACATATCGAGCGGTTCAGAAGTTATGCCAAGAATAAGGTCAAAAGTCGACACACCTGTATGCAGGATGTGTGAACAGGAAGATGAGATTGTCAGGCATGTCCTAGGCGAGTGGCCGGAGTTATCGTCAATAAGAGAGTGTGTGTTCGACGAGTATTGGCCTACACCTGCCGATATAAGGAGATGTATCCAAGTGACCTGTCCAACTTCCTGGAAAGGACAGGATGAACGATGACCTAGGAGGATAACTCCAAGGGGGGATGAACAATGGGTCACATGTGGCCTACGTACTGTGGTTTTACACCCACCCTCCCTACTCTACAGATACAGATACAGAAGGACAAAAGTCAATTGAATAAGGATCTGTTTTGTTATGGAAATATTTTCAAAATGGATTTTACTCATTACCAAATTTATTTTTAATACTTTGTGAATCAAAACTCCTTGACCATGAAAGCCGTAATGTACAGTCATTCATTCCATTAAATGTATCATCACTAAATTTGAAATGTACAACTTGTTCACTTTTTCAGTGATAATTTTTGGGATTCTTCGTGAGAATCTGGGCATAATTCCATGTTTCAAGTGAATACACTTCAGATCCTCACATCACCTTGTCGAAAGACGGTTTATTCAAACAGAAGACGTATCTAATCTTGTCACGATGAGTGTTCTTAAAAAAAATTCATACAGTTGGTTGAAAATATATTATTTTTTAGGAGAAATTGGTTGTTGGCTTACAAAACTAGTACGGTATGAGCATAGAACTCGCAAACCTCACCGTGAACTTTACGAGTACTGTTCATATGACACAGGACCACGGTGTAGTTCTATGCACATAACACAAGTCCACAGTATAGTTCCGTGTACAGTGTAATGTAATGACACAGAGTACCTTACTTACAGAAGAGACCTCAGAGTAATAATAAGACATGTTACTCTGAGGAAGATACACTTTGCACGGGACAGGAACCTGTCGAGATGACATCGTTATAATTTGTAGATTGTAATTGAATTATGTATCCGATAAGTTTCAAATAATTTGAATTTACTGTTAAACATGACATTAAACACCTTTCAGTATCAAAGTGCTGGTAGACGAGTATGGTAAAGACCAAAGAGTACGCCCACTCTTTGGTAAAGACACGGTTCTTTTAGCATTATAGGCGTTTTCTGGCGCTCATGTATTCAAAACGAATTCGTCTATGATTGGCTTAATGCGCCTCAATGGAATCAAAAACCATTAACATAGAGAGAGAGAGAGAGAATTCACATTCAAATACATTCATTCCGGCGTTGAAACGATGACGTTACTCAACTATGATTAGAAACGTATTCATGTGTGAGGTTGGTTTTGAAATGGAATTTTATTTTACGTTACGTCAGTTTCTGCTTTATTCTGATCGTTATATTTTATAAAGTGCTGAAAATATTTTATCAAATACGTTGTAAGGATGTACAAAATAAAGCTGTATGCACAAATTCGATTTTAATTGAGGTTAGAGGAAATTGAAAAGTTTGTTTTTATTATTGAATTTATTTCATTCTGACGAATCTTCTTATTAATGACGTCACTACGAATCGTTTTTGAATACACGCTCGAATGCGGTTAAACCCCAGAAATCACCTCATACTTGTGGTAAAGATATATTTGGACCCCAATTGCGCCTGAACAGGAAGCATCGGCCAATAAAGAAGAGAAGATATATTTGAGGTTGACATGTGGCATGATATGACAACCAGCAATGAACAAGAACGATTGAACTGATGCTCAATCTAATCCAAATTCATATTGAATAATTCAAAAGAAATAGTAAAAATGGTTACTAAACGAAGACCAATTCATGCAACAAATTTGAATTTTCGACCGAATCTGAACAATTCCAATAACGTTGAGCAAAAAGGAACCAAACCAACTAGTGAACCTACTTCAGTCAAGGAAATTTTTATATTGATGGTATTATACATCTGCAAGAAATCTTTATTCTTCAACACTGACTTGAAAGTATGCATATATTTAGGGTGCCTTTTCGTAATATCACTAATAGCGGACGTTCTCACAATACCGAAGACTTATCTGTCCCGGTCTGACAATATTTTCAACAAATTCTTCGTTAAGTTCGCCTGGGGATGGAATTTGACGCTAGTTTTACCTTTTGTTATTCTCACATCTTTCATTTACTGCTGTGGAAATAAGCAAAAAATCATCAAACAACATTTGCCTCGAGTTGCAACTGCAACATTTTTCTGGTGGTTTTGGACGACTTTGTTCAATTTTATCGAAGCATCACTTGGAAGGTGTGCAAATAACACCTTCAACGTGAAAGCTGACTGCCTACAAAGTGGCTCTTTATGGAATGGTTTTGATCTTTCCGGACACTCTTTTATCCTCATATATGGTAGTTTGTTTCTGGTAGAAGAAAGCAGGTGCATAATGAATTGGGATACCATTAAGGAACACATTCGTCTAGAAGAACATAACAGAATGATTAAAGATAACAAAGAAAAATCAAATCCTCTTCGTCATTTATCAGAAAAAGACTTGAGACAAGTAAAAGAAAACTATGAGAAATTTACACCTTATATAAGGCTTTTATTTGTTTGTATAGCAGCTATCCAGATATTGTGGGACGTTATGTTGCTATCTACAATGTTCTACTATCATATAATGATCGAAAAGTTCTTGGGTGGTGCCTTGGCCATATTAACATGGTTTTTTACCTACAGAATTTGGTACGTGAAACCGTTTTTAATTCCTAATCTTCCTGGAGAAGGGGAATTCAAATATATGAAATCTAGTACAACATCACCAACTCCTGTACGTATCAGAAGAAAGGAGAGTCTGATTGATCAAGGACCTCGCTTTATGGGAAGACCAATTTACGGTAATGTGAAAGTGGACGAGACCCTATCTGGAAGATAGCAGCTACTTACGTAATGCACATCACCATATCTGTTTGGTATATTTGTTGAATGTTTTTTTTAATTTATTAATGAATTTTATTTATATGGGTATTTTTTTGGAATATTTTGCAAATAAAATTGTTATTTAAAAAACATGTGTTCTGATTATTTATCTTTCATATAGAATAGAAGATTAATTTTTCAACAGTATTTCAACAAATTTGGTCAGCACTGTTAACAAATTTGAACAGCAAATGTTGTTATTGGAAATGTATACTTTATTTTGCTTGAAAGAACCAGGATGAATAGATCCACTCTTCACAAAAATTATTCAAAAGTACTGAATTTGAGACAAATGAAGATTTTGAAATACCCAACAAGGATGAAAAATGAGACTTGGAAACTTCCTATAATCGCCTACATTCATTAATTTATACAAAAAGGATATTTGGAATCAAATATATTTCATCTCTGGGTTTTGCAAATAAAATAGCTTTTTTCAGGAATTCAAATGGGATATTTAAATTATGATGATGGGGTCATCATGGTTCAAGATACTTTCTTTGTGTTGTTTTTAAGTCATGGTGATTAGTCCAAATATTCAATGTTTTATTCATTAGGACGAAGTTCTTTCTAGATTATATAGATTCATGTAAAAAAGAAATCAGTAAAGTAAAAAACTGGTTGATTGAAAACTGAAAAATTGTACTGATGAACTGTGAAAATGCCTCATTAAACATTTTTTTTTAAGAAAACTGATTTTTAGTTTTGATTTCCTACGTTTTTATACCACATGTCATGCTGAATAACCTCACAATTTTCAGAAATGAATGCAAACTTTTCTGTAATATTTGTTTTATTAAGACATTAATAGTAAATCACAATTAGGCCTACACTATATTTCCGCGATTACTTAATTGGTAACTCCTGTTGCCATCAGCACAAAAACCTGGTAACATTATTTGTGAAAATCAAATATGTGATCCAAAAATTCATTGACTGAAAACACTTTTGTGTAACGGCAACTAGGGATTTGGAATAACAAAGTAGTACAGAATAGGATTTCTTTGAGAAGCAGCCATTCAAAAAAAAATAGCTCCATCCCATTCTGCTAGAGTTGACACTTCTCATCCAAAAAACACCTACGGGGGCGTCTATGAATTATGTGAGGCGTTCAGAAGGGGAAGCGTTCCTGCCGAATCTCACCCATTCCCATGCAGGGGAAAGGAGGCAAATAAAACATACTGTTTCAGCAAGAATCCAAGTAAAATTACAAGAAAACACAATAATCCTACACATTAATATTTATAATGGTTATGTGTAGGTACACCACAAAGTGAAAGAATATATTAAATACTAGTCAACAGGTTTGAATTGAAAATAATTAGCAAATTAGGTTTTTTTAAAAGAAATCCAACACAATCATGCGTAAAAAATTACGTGAAATTAGAGCCAAATTTTACATCTCGCCAGGGAGAAAGGGGAGTCAAAAAATCGCCAAACGTATAATGGACGCCCCCTATCATACCAATTGTGAAGGATGATGAAAGGTAACTAACTCTTTCTTTTTCTATTAATCATTCTATATCTAAAGTAGCTCAACTGTCATACAAAAATAACTCTCATTAAACTCATGGATGAACTGAAAATTATAACTACTTCAATGGCAAATATATTGTATTTACAGTTTTAATTCACGTATCACATGGTTGTATACACCACTAACAAAAAATAAAGCATATTTTGATTTGGTTTCATCGAAAAATCAAGTCTTTGCTTCTTATTGAAAAAAAATGTTAAAAATGGTTTAGTTGTTATAATATATATGTTGGCAGCACTGAAGTTAGACGCGCGTACTTGCCGATAATGTTTACTTTTGACATGGAAAATGATAATCGAGATATTCTCGGGTCAAGATGATTGCCACTGGAAATGGAAGACGATAAGGTAACTTCGATAGAAATAAAAATTCTAGTGATGAACCATTGTGCTTATAAGCCTTACCTACAGTTTACCTTACCAATCAATCATAAACATTACGGATTATTAACTGTGAAACAGACAAAAACTTCAGAACTGATATTCAAAATAAAAACTTTTTTGAAAGTGACAATGTATCTATCACGTATTCAAACAAAAAAAATATTATTGTTAAAAATATACAGTGGGGACGTAAATGGCCGCCCTCTCCAACTTTTGAACAGAACAGATATTAAGGCTGGATGAAATTTACGTAAAATGCATCAATCACTTTCATTATCACACGTTCTGGTAAAAAGACTCCCCTTTTAAAAAAAAGTATTTCAATTCTCTATTCAACATTGATTGATTTTTCAAAATCGAATAAGCCATTCCTGAGTTATTAGTAGGGTCATATTAGTTATGGAAATTTAGAAACGTAATGATAAATATAATTTTAAGAAAGAATGTTTTTCTTGAAATTATTATATTTATAGTTTGCAATTCTTTGAACAAACACAAAAGTGCTAATTACTTGGGAATGGCTAATTTGATTTCCAACAATATGTTTTTATTTCTTTCAAAAGTTAAGAAGGCGACTATTAACCTTAGTTTCAATAATACACCTTACAGAGTTTAAAATCTTTGAACGGAAACTAAAATCACTCATCCAGGCTGCTAAGATAAATTGATGTTCTTCACAGTTCAATAGCTTCCAATCAAATTACCAACTTTAATTGTGAATCTTTTCAAAACAAGACTTAGTCTTATCACCCAGTTCAGGAATCTAGACAACAAAAATAACTGCCCCAATCTCTACATCAATCAACGAATATAACCTATGAAAATATACATAAAAACCGATCTGCTGATAAACCTTTAAAAACAATATAACAATTCCTAAAGTATATTGTCATTGTCTAAAGCAGAGCCAAGAGGCTATTATAAAAATCTTGTAAGATACAAAATAGATACAAAAACTGGAATATTAATTTCTTCAATACCCTATAAAACAAATGAACTTCCACGGGCTCTGCAAGTGACAGCTACTGTTATGGCTCATTCATTTCTCTGCAATAAGAATGATCTGAAGAAACTTCTATACTGTTCTGACGTGACAAATAGCCAAGTATGATAGCTAGGAACAAGATTAGAATTATGGTTGCTAACTGGTAATACTGTGTCTTCCTGATGGCGGAGTGGAGTTCATTTTGACAAGTGCTCAATTGCGATATGGCAGCTGAGAGTTTGTTGTAGTTATTCTGATCATTTTCTTGAGTCGGGGTACTTTGTGATACAAAATTACCAGTCAAGTTCATGTCTCCACTCTGTATGCATTTCAGTCGGTGCTGATTGATTTTTCGTCCTGACGAATTCTGCAAAACAAATCGTTGTTTATTTATTATGCTTTGAAAAACTGATCAAAGTCTATAAAAAAATTGGTTTTACTTTGATGGTCGAGAAAAACTATATTACCATATAAAGTTGTCGAGTTTATTATTATTACTATGCGGACAAACAATTTTAAGATAAAATTTACAATAATATGTGAAAACATATATACGCAGTATGTTTGTTAAAATATGATTCAGTGTAGGAGTAAAAAAATTAAAAAAATATATATACAGTGTCATCCCCAAAGTATGAGAAACTTATTTATTAAGGGTTTTTCGACAAAAAGTTATTCTTGATAAAAGTTTGTGCATCCCCTAAAACTAATCATGCACCAAAAAATACAGTATACCACGCGCAATATGGAGCCTTCAAATTTTTTATTTTTTCAACATTTTGGGACTTTCTAGACATTCAAATACAGACCGATATTTTGACCAAAGTAAATATGAATTTCTGATGAAATTATTGAAAATGTAGCTCTATTTCCTTGAAGGACATTAAAAAATTAAAAGCTCAAGTGACACAGAGTTTTCCTTGTTTTATTTGACTTCTTTTCATCATTTGAATGTAATATATTACTCACCTTCCATATCTCAACAGAATCCACATTGCCAATCTCATCAGGTTCAAGCGTTGTGCTCATCACCAGGAATTTATCTTTGGAAAGTCCCCCGAGTTGGAAACCGGGAAATAGAGTAACCGTGACAGTATTAGATTCTCCGGGAGCTAGCAACCCTGTACTAGGTTTGACCCTGAATTTTTCCGGAGATGTCGTCTTCAACTGAAACATCGAATATTCTTGTTGAGATTATTTTGCTTAGATCTGTATGACTGGAAATACCTTATATGATATGTAAATGCTGCTGTCGACATTCTGTAGTTCCATACTACTAACAAGTTCGTTTCCTTCTTTGGTAAATGTAATGATACTGGACGGCGTAACTTTGAGAGGAACGCCATCTGAAATAACATTAGAAACCGTAAATTAATGAAAATATGTGTGGTAGATAAATATTTTAGTATTGGAATAATACTATGCAGTGATTTCACAAATATATTGTTATATATCATGCCCTAAAGAAAATAACATCGGCCGCCAATGGTAGCCATAAACCAATTGTGACGTAGAAGCAAGCCTAAAGTTGTCCACAAAAAGAACATGAGTCGTGATGTCCCTTTTTCGAATGTTTTCGGGCCGAACAACCTCAGGGAAGGGGATAGTGTTGTAAATCATGCCCTAAAGGAAATAACGCCGGCCGCCACTGGTAGCCATAAACCAATTGTGACGTAGAAGCAAGCTTAAAGTTGTCCACATAGAGAGACTGTGTCATTACATGGGTCGTGATGTCCCCTCTTGGAATGTTGTTCGGGCCGAACAACCTCAGGGGCGGAGGTCGTGTTGTGAATCATACCCTAAAAAAAATAGCGCCGGCCGCCACTGGTAACCATAAACCAATTGTGACGTAGCTAAGAGCGCGCGACTGTTCGATGTTCACCGCCGTTCCAGACGTGGCGTTTCATCGAGAATAATGCTACCGGCTTCGATGGCAATCCGAGGAATGTTACGGCGCGTTCGATTGCCAAATATAAGCGCCATCCACACGCCCATTGAGACAGTCAAGTGGAAGTTACAGTGCGGTACGCGAAGCGATCTAGTAAGGCGATAGACATTCGAATAATAGTTGAAGTTTTAGTACCCAATTTTTTAGTTACTGAGGTGTGTACAGTTTTCTGGTTCGGAACAGTGTTCCAAGCTTTTGAGAAGCAGTCTTTGCAATTCCAGCGACATGATTGTGCCAAGACATATTAGTGTCCATTTTAACCCCCAAGAAACATAATGAAGCAGAAAGCGAAATTTTCTATCATGACATTATTATATCCGGTTCGAAGACATGTGTCTTCTTGGAGAAAACCGATGCCTGGGTTTTTGTGGCATTGAATTGAATCTAGTTGCTTTCACTCCAATTCGAAATCACTTCTAGATCCTCATCAAGATATGCAACCTTCTGCTGCCGGTGAAGATGTGCTTCCGTAGCCGATGTCCTTGAATCTAAATGGAATGACGAGACAAGTGTGCTGTCGTCAGCAAAGCAATATATTGGATTCTTGGTTTTCTCCAATAAGTCGTTGATATACAATAAAAAGAGAGTTGGACAATATGGATCCCTGGGGAACACCAGCGTTGATGGTGAAAGTATTCGAGAGATATCCAGCAACGAACACTTGCAGGGAACCTTCTTTCAGGAAGCTGAAGAGCCTGGGAGAAACAAAAAATGTTAAAAATAGAGACAGCCGTTGATGTGATGTATATTCACATCTGTGCAATAAATTGAGATTTACAGCCACTGAGAAACATGAAAACTGCGAAAGTACTATTTCCACGTATTGTGTAATATCTTTCATCACAAAAATACTGAATAATGGGGTGATATTCCAAAAGAAAAGTTCTTGGGGTTATTGTTGATGCTTGTATTGTATTTTACGGAAGCGTAGAAGGGTCACAGATTATTTGTTTATTTGATCCACCATAATTTCGAGTTTTATCTCGTAATTTCGACTTTTATTTCGTAATTTCGACTTTTATTTCGTAATTTCGACTTTTATTTCGTAATTTCGACTTTTGTCTCGTAATTTCGACTATTATCTCGTAATTTCGACTTTTATCTCGTAATTTAGATTTTTATCTCGTAATTTCGACTTTTTTCTCGTAATTTCGACTTGATAGTCATAATTTTGATTCAAAGGTAGAAATATGGTTCCTTGAGTGCATTATAATTTACTACGAGGTGATGTTAACAGGAGGTTCGTGAAATTGTTGTGATTGAAATTTCAATGAAAATATGTGGTTGAAAGTGGGATCAACCTCAAGCGACCCTAAGGTCTGAATCAATCAATAATTTTAACAATAATCATTTCGAACTGATGTTGAATCAAGAACAAATATTTCAGTTGAATATACATTTTTGAAAATGCTCGTGTCAATGATAGTTCATTAAATTTTACCACACTATTCATTATTTCACAAAATTTGTAATTTTGAAGGTAATTTGAGGATATTTCTTAAAAGGAGGATGTCCCAGAACTTTACGAACCGATATGGGCACTGAAAATGAAGTAATGGAGAGGATACAAAAAGCCTTTCATGAAGAATTTACTAAATCAACAGATCGACCATGTTTTTTTGTATGGAAAAAGCATGCACAATCAAAGGATAGAATCTTGGTGGTCTATATATAATGCACAATACTGGATGAATTTATTTCAAACCCTAATAGAAGACAATTTATTTGATGCATCATTTTCGGACATGTCTCTAGTTCAATTTTGTTTCATACCATTAGTACAAGTAAGAGATGAGTTGTTGTTAATGATATTTCAATTATAATGTTTATTTCAGAGTGATCTTGATCAGGTATGTTTTGAATGGAGTATTCATAGAATACGGAAAACAAGAAATGATTGCTCCAGCAGGGATACCAAGTATATTGTATGCGATGCCTTCCCTTTATGGAGTTACAGATCACCTCATCAAGATTCCATCATTCGCTTTTGAACATTTTTCGTCGGAGTGTACATATCCCCGGACAGCCTGCGATGAAGATTTTTGGAAATTATGTTCAATTTTTATGAAAAAAATGATTACACAAGGTCCCTAGATCCTTATGCCACAAATGTTTTATACATTAACCTGAGAAGTGAATTAATTATGTTATTTGAATAAATTTTAGATTGATAATTAGGCATTAATATTATTCAGTACCTTTTCGAAAAAGTAAATGCCCGTACGAGTAGGAGAAAGTTAACTTTGGCCAAAATATTAGTTTTTCATCATAGTAAATCAATCTGATCAGTAATATCCTTACTTCATTATCAAAACTTATCTAAAATTCAGTTTTCACTACAACTGAAGAAATTTCTAGTAGAAATTTATTAAAATTTTGAAAGAATACTCTACACATTCATGTTGATCTTAAACGTCATGTTAAAACACAGATTGCAATGGCAACCAAATAATACTATTGGTATGTTCTTCGAAGAGATACACTGTTCATTTCTTAGGTATTTTGGGTTTTCTCTCTTCGTTTCGAAAAATCGTAGAGATCTAATGACGCAAAAAACCTAACTGGAGCAAAATGGTTCCCGAAGGTTGAATAAAAAAATGAGTAGGCTTCGAATATTCAATAACATCGGTTTCTGTCATATTCCTTCGTAAAAAACATACCACTATGAGAAGATTGGAGCACTGTCGAAGTGATTTGAAAAGAGTGTCGAAATTACGAAATAAAAGCCGAAATTACGAGATAAAAGTCGAAATTACGAGATAAAAGTCGAAATTTCGACTTTTAAGTCGAAATTATGGTGGATCAAATAAACAAACAATCTTTGGCTCTTCTACGCTTCCGTAGTATTGCTTGTATGAATATTGTTTTTTTTTTCAAAACGATGGTTCAACTGATAAATTATTATTAAGAAACACTTCACTCCTCAATTGTTTTCATTTATCAACTGTCAATGCTATTCTCTCTCGATCATTTGCTAATACAGTTCGGTTCATCAACCATTATGTACAGTACTTTGATGATAATTCTCACTGATAAAAAAATGAAATGAGTAATTAAAGTGATAACGTCCTTTGAATGTATTATTATAAACGAAACTTGATAGTTATGTGTTTGGTTGGTCCGATAGGGGCAAGCAATCACGATGACGAGATTTTATTTACCTTGAACAATTGTAACTGAACTTCAACCTTTGGATATTCAGGATATACAGATATATAATAGCAACTATTGAGTTTTATATGGTATATTATTTGATAATATTTAACAATTTGTTGATATAAGAATACACTATTACTTCAGCGGGGAAAAAAAATTCGATTCAAAGCGTCCTGACCTGGACAATAAAAAAAACAATGATGAACAAAAGACAAAATAACCAGAAAACATTAACAACTATTACGTAACACCCTTTCTGGCGAAAGTTTTGACGCACCACAAAAACTCTGAAGCGCAAATAAACGACAATCACTCAGACATCCGAAAAACGATAAAAATAACGTAAATTATAATAAATAAACTCACCAGATTCTTTATCAACACTGCTAGCTGATACTTCTGACATTGAACCATCCACAAAGTGAACCTGCCACAATGTTATTGATTAGTTTTACTCTGTACTGATTCTTCCCCTACAAACAGCTGGATAAGCTTTCTTACGGGGTGATACAAGTACGGAAAAAGGAATGTGAATTATACATGTTTACAGTGCGATCATAATGTAATTAGGATGATATTTTTTAAGTTTCTACTCAGAATAATGATAGTTTCCTTGCCAACATTTCGAATTCAATCAAATTCTTCTTCATGAAGTTTCATGACATACCTCCCACAATATATATTACTTTATATCTGTTGTGGTTTTAATAATATTCTTTTACTAAAATTACTCACCGAAAAGTAGTTTTTCCGTATTAAAAATAGATTTTTTTTAAAATCCATCAGACTCATCAGCTACATCAAGAAATAACAAACACTGAAGACAAACACTGGNTCCTTAAACTTTCTAGGCAAAAATACGAATCGAATGACACCTTGGTCGTAATTTTTGGACAGGGCTGAAAAATGTTACAAAAAAAAGTACATGTGAACTAGACTATAAATGGACTCTAATGCAGACTCCAGTGAGATTGGGACAGATCATGTGAATAAAGAACATTTTTTTTTAATTTAACAATTTTCGTGAGTAATTTTTCATAATCAAGAAAAATTAATTATCTTGACATCAAGCTCGCCAGAATTAGACCTGGCAATGCCGTAAGAATTATCCATCACAGAGCGTGAAATAGAATAGTGTATACAGAGATGTTTAATACACGTGTTTAGTCAAGCAACGGCAATGAAATATGTTTGAAATAGACTAATGGGAAGTTCATGGCTGACTGGGCATTAGAAATCGTT